AAAAAAAAAAAAAAAAAAAAAAAAGTAATAGTGATGTGTTTAACTTTGGAAAAGCTTTTATTGTTCGTGGTATTTGATTCATAGAGTTTTTATTGTAATTTGCACAAGAGTTCAGGGAACATTTAAATATCTGTCTTGTAGATGATTGAAATAATTATTTTATATATTGCAAGAAGTTTGCTAAGTCATTAGGATCAGTAAGCATAATTGCCAGATGTTTTGTGCATGCAGCAGAGTCTAGTGTTATCTTCCACTTTGTAAAATTCTGAAGCAGTCCAAAGGAAGGGAAAATTTGAGGTAAGAATATTGCATGGGGCAAATGCCTGAGTTCCTTGGATTTAATCGAGTCATTGAGCAGGTAATTGTTCATAACTTTGTAGTATAGAAGTGTTTTTTCCTACACTAAATATTTCAGTGACTCAGTTTCCCCAAACATTTCTTCTCTGCAGGTATGCCCCCACCTGTTCCACGTCCTGGAATTCCTCCAATGACCCAAGCACAGGCTGTTTCAGCGCCAGGTATTCTTAATAGACCACCTGCACCAACAGCAACTGTACCTGCTCCACAGCCTCCAGTTACTAAGCCTCTTTTCCCCAGTGCTGGGCAGGTAAGGTGAAAATCCTGTAAAGGAGTGCACTTAAAGATAAAGTACAGTTGTTTACAGAAGTCTTTGAAATTCTCGTAGGTCAGTTTTTTTTTTCGTTTATAGTATTTTTAATATTATTTATTAAATGTACTAAAAGGTGGCTTATCCACTTCCATGTTTACACACTGATTTCCTCTACCCATAAAAGGTTAAATGGAGCCAAAGTTAGTATGTTACTTTTTCATAGTTGTGAACCCTATTTATTCTTAGTTTTTTTTTTTTTTTTTTTTTTTTTTTTTTTTTTTTAAGCTAATGAAAGTTTAATATCTGGAGTGTTTAGAAGTTTTCCTTTGCTAGCTGAACTGTGAATGGAAGGACAGCAAAGTCAAAGATGAGCATTCCTAAGATGGTAGCAAATTATTTGTCAGGCTCTGTCTCTAGTATGGAACAGTGATGAGCTGCAATGCCACACTTGTGCTAAAATGGCATAATTTAATGGCTTTTGACCTAGGCACACTTGTATTTCTTATTGGTCTTTTTTCAAAGCTTTTACAACTTTTTTTCCGGAGCATAAGTGAAAGATGCTTCTGTTCTATGTAGTGTGCACATAATGGTTAACACCTTTGCTTTTTTTCCTCGTTTCATTGAGAATTAAGCAGATTCAGGTTTAATTTATTCAGAATTTAGATCAGGATGTATGTTTATTCATTTTCTTTTTTAGATTATCCCTTAGATTTTTTTTTAACTGTTTTTTCTGTTTGTGGGTGCTAAATTAAAAGCATTTTCTTTAAGTGCCTTTTATTAAGCACATTAACCTAGCTTTATGGTGGACGGGAATTTTATGTATTGAGAGATGTAAAATTTGGCAAAAATCTTTTTGTAGAGAATCATTGATACAGAATTGGATTGAAGTGTCAGTATTTATACATAATTATTCTCAGTTTCAGGTATCATTCTTGAAATAATGCAAAACACAGTAGTTTTAGAAAAGCTAGTTAACTAGGTTTTATTGGTATAGAATTAAAATTTTGAGGCTCATACTTTAATCTTGTTTATTGTAAATGCATTAACTGCCTGCCTTTTAAAGTAAATGACATTTGATTGCATTAAATTTTGCATTTACAAATATGCAATCTACTAGAAAGTCTACCACATGGCTTATTTTGACCCATTTGTTTGGAGACTTTTCATTGTTTCCTTTCTTTTATGCTACAGATGGGGACACCTGTCACAAGCTCAAGTACAGCTTCATCCAATTCAGAAAGTCTGTCTGCATCTTCTAAAGCTCTGTTTCCTAGCACAGCACAAGTACGCAGGAAGTTGCAGTTTAAAATTGTTAAAATGGCTTTATAACTTAACCCTTTGGACCCTACTTAAAAAATGAATATTTTTCCCAAAATATACTGTTTACTTTTTTAAAGCAAAATTAATGCCGTATAAGTCAAATGGTATTTAAAAATTTTAATTCATGCTAAAAAAAACTACCCCGAACTCTTGTGGTTCTAAAGGGTTAAAAGCATGTAAGCAGTAAATGCATTATAGTGGCCAATGGTTAGCCTGATGCATGATTAAGCTATTTTGATTTGTGCTGTTTAATGCATCACATTTAATGTAAGAAAATTTAATACATTGCTTTGGTTCTAAAGTTGGCCTAGTCTACATGTTTTAGATGTGTGGTATTATGAAAAGTAACACATTTGTTACTGGTAACTTGTTACTTTAAAAGATCCTGCTAAATTAACCCTTTTGTCCTTGATAATTATCCAGCCATTGTTAATTTGGAGGGGATTATATATATAAAGAATACTACTAAAGGATGTATCTTTAATATGTCACCATTTACACTCGTTCATGTTATACTTAGTAACTGGAATTTAAACTCTCATTCTGTAGTTTTTTGGTTTTTTAGCTGTTTGATAGATTAATAACTAAACTTGTTAATAGAACAGTAAAAAGAGAACACATGCTATTCTATTATACTGTATTTCAGCAATCTGGAATAAATACAGAGCATTGTAAACTTAATTTTTGATGAAGAGGTAGAAGACATCTAACAAGTTAAATATAGTCTTATTTCCATTGCTGTGTTGTGGGTGTGACTTTAACCCAGCATCTTTTGATGTTTTTATGGGTTATCTTGAATTTTGTGGAGTGTTTATCACATGTTAACTTTGTTTTAATTTCATTTAAAGTTTGGTGCTTTGATGTTGATGCCTTGTTTTAAGTTAAACTGTTGTAGATATAGTTAATTTTGGGTTTTGAGGTTTTGTTGACGAAGTATTGTATTTTACAGGCTCAGGCAGCTGTCCAAGGACCTGTTGGTACAGATTTCAAACCCTTAAATAGTACCCCTGCAACAACTACAGAACCCCCAAAGCCTACATTCCCTGCTTATACACAGTCTACAGCTTCAACCACTAGTACAACAAATAGTACTGCAGCTAAACCAGCAGCTTCAATAACAAGTAAGCCTGCTACACTCACAACAACTAGTGCAACCAGTAAGTTGATCCATCCAGATGAGGATATATCCCTGGTAAGTTGTTTTTAGTTTTCTACTAGCAGCATTTAATTTAAAGCCATTATAGCAGTTTGTCCCTTTAAAAAGTGTTAATTTGTACTCAGATGGTCTGTGATCTGGTTTAATGCTAACTAAGTGGTTTTTGCCATTCTGAGTCTTAAGAAATCATAAAATACTTAAAGTGAATGGATATTGCATGTTTTGGTCTTAGGTGCTTTCTATCCCCTTCCTCCAGACTGTTTCTAAAAGAAGACAGCAAGTCAGGTTCTTAACTCTCTTAAAAATCATTTTAGTTAAACGTAAGTTTGCACATGTTAATTGAAGAAACGTTAAGTGTGAAGTAGAATCTGCAGATTCCTTAAGTCCCGTATAAAGGAATTAATTTTGATATAAAGTTAATGTTTAGAATGTTGATAACGGCTGGGCATGGTGGCTCACGCCTATAATTCCAGCACTTTGGGAGGCCAAGACAGGCGGATCACAAGACAGACAAATGACACATCATTAGTTTAAGACTAGCCTGGCCAACATGGTGAAACCCCATCAATACAAAAATTACCCGGGTGTGGTGGCAGGTAGCTGTAATCCCAGCTACTGAGGTGGCTGAGGCAGGATAATCAGTTGAACCTGGGAGGCATAGGTTGCATTGAGCCAAGATTACCCACTGCACTCTAGCCTGGGCAACAGAACAAGACTCCATCTTGAAAAATGAAAATAGAATGTTGGCCCGGCGCAGTGGCTCACACCTGTAATCCCAGCACTTTGGGAGGCCGAGGCTGGTGGATCACCTGAGGGTCGGGAGTTCGAGACCAGCCTGACCAACATGTAGAAACACCATCTCTACTAAAAATACAAAATTAGCTGGGCATTGTGGCGCATGCCTGTAATCCCAGCTACTCGGGAGGCTGAGGCAGCCGAATCACTTGAACCCGGGAGGCGGAGGTTGCAGTGAGCCGAGACCTGGCCATTGCACTCAAGCCTGGGCAACGAGCAAAACTCCATCTCAAAAAAAAAAAAAAATGTTAACAATATTTTATTAGTTTCTTGTTGAAGCAATTTGTAATTCCTGGAAAGTTGTTAGCCATGCTTCAAGTTTACAAATAGGTGAAGTTTTAAGGTATCTAGAGTTTAAGTAGTTGGATTGGTTTGTCTGGCAAAAGTAAACAGTTGGGATGTAAGGGTAAATTTTTGAAAATTACTCGAATGTTGTAAGATTTTAGATGCATGCCTTTATGCTTGATGAGCCTCTACATTTGAGTATTTAGCCTTGTGCTTATTTTTATTCCCAGGAAGAGAGAAGGGCACAGTTACCTAAATATCAACGTAATCTTCCTCGGCCAGGACAGGCCCCCATCGGTAATCCACCAGTTGGACCAATTGGAGGTATGATGCCACCGCAGCCAGGCATCCCACAGCAACAAGGAATGAGACCCCCAATGCCACCTCATGGTATTCCTCTTTTTATGTTTATCATATTTAGTGGATTTTCTAAGTTCATGCATAAAATATTAAATTTATCTGCAGTATACATTGCATTTAAAAGTACAATACGTAACAATCTATTTTTTGTGTTTGAAATTCTTGTTTTTTAGGTCAGTATGGTGGTCATCATCAAGGCATGCCAGGATACCTTCCTGGTGCTATGCCCCCGTATGGGCAGGGACCGCCCATGGTGCCCCCTTACCAGGGTGGGCCTCCTCGACCTCCGATGGGAATGAGACCTCCTGTAATGTCGCAAGGTGGCCGTTACTGATCTTACTTCATCCAGTCTAATAGGTTTGGAGATTAAACCTTTTCTCAACTTGTGCTGTTTATATAGCCAAGCTTCCGTCAATAAGGCTTCATTGTGACTTTAACAAACATTATCTTCCCACATACCAGGAACTATTGGACATTTATTTTACATGGGAAAAATTATTTGGAATAATAAAGCAGGAACTTTTCCTGAAGTTGCAATTTATACTGTATGGCTTCTTTTTCATGTTTCATCTAGGTTTTTAGAAGTGAAGTATAGTAAATTTGGTTCGTTAAATTGTGAAGGCGCTGGAATTACATGAACATACCACCTTAATAAAGGCAAGTTCTGTAAGCTTACATTGCTATTTGTAAAGTTTGCCTTCACAGCATTTCAGATGCTGTTGGACTTCATGTCCCCAACCTAGCTTGGTGAGGGCTGTAACTGTTTCCAAGTACTTGTACATTGGAAGTCTGAATGTGTAACAATATTTAATGTATTTAGAGTTCCTCATGTTGCAGGGTTTAAGAAATCTGACCCACCAAGGTCATGTGACTTTTCTGTACTGTTAAACTTCATTGTAATAAAATGAGAGAAAAATTTATGCCTTTTTATTCATAACCCAGCTGTGGACCACTGCCTGAAAGGTTTGTACAGATGCATGCCACAGTAGATGTCCACATAATAAAATTTATAGTTACCAATGCAGTTTTGATATATCATTGGATTCTGTCTTTTGAGTTGTAGGTTATTTCTTAGCTGCATGTTTTAAACTGAATATGCATAGAGTTGTATGTTAATGTTTCAGTTAAGAGAAAAACTTAGATACATGAGTCATTACATAATGGGTATGAAATCTTTATAATCACCTTTCCACCCTCTTTGGTGTCAGTACACATCACGTGTCATAGATACTTAAAATGTAAATGTTAACACTTTTCCTTCCTGCTGAGATGTTTAGAGCCTAGTGCCAGACCCATTCATTTCCTTTTGATTATTTTTGAGACTTCAGTACTGCATGGACCTCAGAAGCTTTTCAGGTACAAACTTCTAGAAGCTTAGGTGCATGCAGTAATAGCTTCTTGTGCTGTTAATGGGTTGTAATATATTATTCTAAGTGTAATGCTGAGAATCTAAATGTGTCTCTGTTGGGATGGTTAACAGATGGGTTGGCAATTTTTAATTTTATTATGTTCCTGGAAGATTACATTATTCATTTGAGTACCTTCTGTTATTAAGCCTAGGTAGCCTTACTGTGCAACTTTTTATCCTTGGAAATTTTGAATGTTGTGTTCTTACAGAGAGCTTTTCTGTAGAGATGACTGCTATTCAGTATTTTGTGTTACAACCTCTTAATAGCTCTTGTGGACCTTTTTGGGATCTGTTTTTCTGATTTTTACTTTTGCAGGGTAGTTTTATGATTTTTTAGGCATCAAATAACCTGTGCAAAGTATTAATATAATGAACTCGAGTTTTTCTCATTGTAAAGTTAAGACTTCCAAGAAAATGGTAACATTTCTTTATAACTTTACTGTGAAGGTATAGATAAAAGACAGGGACTTTGAAGTTGTAACGAAAAAAGGGCTTTAACTTTGAAGGAAAATATATTGAAAAGTGATTTAGCCATCACAAAAGAGTTTGTATATATGTGACAGGTAGAAGTCATACCTTTAAGCAAAACATTGCAAGTATTATAAAGCTGAATGCTATTTTAACTCTTATTGGCTGGGTGCAGTGGCTCACCCCTGTAATCCCAGCCCTCCGGAAGGCTGAGGTGGGAGGATTGCTTGAGTCCAGGAGTTTGAGACCAGCCTGGCCAACATGGGAAAACCCCACCTGTACAAAACATTTAAAAATTAGCCAGGCGCTTTAGTGTGTGTCTGTGGTCCCACCTGCTCCAGAGGCTGAGGGAGGAGGATCACTTGAGCACAGGAGGTCAAGGCTGCGGTGAGCTATGTTCACTCCAGCCTGGGCAACAGAGCGAGACTGTCAAAAAATAAATTTAAATACCTGATTATTTGGCTTCAATGATTTTATGGCTCCTGTGCTTGTGGTACCATAGTGGTACAAAAATTTTCATAGTTTGAACGTAAAACTACCATATTTTGCCAAGAATGTATTTCTTCCTTCTGCCAGCCACCAAGTCTCAAACCACTTTCCCCTCTGAACCTCTGCCTACCTAAATGGTTTCAAAATTAATACATGCTTCTTTGATTTGGCAGCACACTTAATATACTGCCGAAGAAAAACTCGTGTTGAAAATCTTTAAGATAAAAATGGTGAAATTAAATTTACAATGATTAAGTAAGGGATGCTCTCCCAAATTCTCAAGAATTTCATGTACAGGGTTATTGACAAACTGCAATAGGTTTAGTAGACCTGTTTCAGAAATTACGTGAAACTTTATTTGCATTTTATGCAAAGAAGACTGATACTTTATAGCAAGGTTTTTTGCTCTCTGTATATGTCTGATGGGCAAAAATGGAAATTTTTAATATGGGATAGAATTCTAATTAAAAATTAATTGAAAGTGTTAGGCATTGGCACATAAAACTTAAGCTCATGAGTTCCTGAGTTTGTAGCTATAGGCTCAGAGGTGGTGTACCCATTTAATATATTTGAAGGGTAATTTTTGCATGCATCCAAGCATAATTAAGCTTCTAGAAAATACCTTTTATCTAAATGCTTCTGGGGTCCATAGCGTGGTTGAATCATGAGTAGAGCAAATTACATTCATATAATTGACTCTGACTCAAATTTCCTTAAGTAATAGATGAAGTTGAGTCAAAGTGGATGTCAACTGCCCTCACAGAAGACAGGTTTTGGGACTTGATAATTCAAGCTGATTGCCATAATTAAGGAAGCTGTAAGGTTAGTAGGGCGTAGGGCTGGCAGCTTTGGCTCTACCTTACATCCACCCCTTTTAGAAAAACAAACGTTTTGTCTGGCACTAGTTTCTGTTGTATAAGTTTTCATACTGTGTAACAGTAACAAGGCCACAGCAGGTGAGGATTAATTTTTGAGTGGCTGCTGGAATTATTTGATTTGAATACTTAGTATTTTAGTAGTCTCTCACACATTTGCCATTAGGTATGATTAAAATATTCCTACTGTACTCCTATTCCACTAAGTTACATTTTGAACTTAGACTCACCTTAATGAAACTTAATTGGGGAGGGGGATTCCCCAACAAAAAGAAGTACGGGCTCAGAATAGAATTGTAGTGGACAGTAGTTTTAAAAACAAAGCTGCTCCTTTTGCTTGCTTGATCATTGGGATTTTTTTTTTTTTTAAATTTAATGCATGTCTTTTAAATTAATTGGGAACTGTTTTTCTAAAATTAAAATTTTCTTCTTCCTATAGCCCTGCCATAGGACAGGCTGAGGCTGAGTCTCAGTGTTGCCCTGTTCAGTCTGAGGCAAGTGGGATTTATTTTATTCCTTATAGGGGCTTTCACAGCTTTATGGCTGTTGGATATTTATGTCCCCAAACTTGCAGCAAGTTTGGTGAAGGCCCCTAAATTTAATTAAACTTAGGATTTTTATACTCTTTTGGCAGAGAAGGCTCTATATTAATATTCACGTTTGACTGTGGTGTTAATAAACCTAAGTATTTCATATGCATTTTTATGTAATTTGCTTTGTGTTACATAATTAACAGCTTCAGTAAAGCTTGTGTTACTATATTGAACTTTAGTAAATTCACAAAATTTGATGTTTTTGATTTGGAGACGTGAAATGTTTCATTCAAATTTTCTACTTTCACTTTTAGGAAAATCTTACTGGTTTTATTTTCTCCATAAACTATTAAATTTAACCTCAAGGATAAGTTTAATCGTTGGAAATGCCACTGGATACTGAAATCTGCATTTTTTTTTTTTTTTTTTTTTTAAGACGGAGTTTCACTCTTATCGCCCAGGATGGAGTGCAGTGGTGCGATCTCGGCTCACTGCAACCTCTACCTCCCAGGTTCAAGTGATTCTCCTGCTTCAGCCTCCTGAGTAGCTGGGATTATAGGCTCCTGCCACCATATCTGGCTATTTTTTAAATATGTTTTAGTAGGGACGGGGTTTTGCCATGTTGGCCAGGCTGGTCTCAAACTCCTGACCTCAGGTGATCCACCCGTCCTCAGCCTCCCCAAGTGCTGAGATAACAATAGGTGTGAGCCACCACACCTGGCCAAAATCTGTATTTTTTTTTTTTTGAGACAGAGTCTCGCTCTGTCACCCATTCTGGATTGCAGTGGCGCAATCTTGGCCTGGGTTCAAGCGATTCTCCTGTCTCAGCCTCCCGAGTAGCTGGGACTACAGGCATGTACCACCACGCCCGGCTAATTTTTTGTATTTTTAGTAGAGACAGGGTTTCACCATGTTAGCCAGGATGGTCTCGATCTCCTAACTTTGTGATCCGCCTGCCTCAGCCTCCTAAAGTGCTGGGATTACAGGCGTGAGCCACTGCGCCTGGCCAAAGTCTGCATTCTTAATCACTAACTTATGCATTGAATGTTAAGGCTAAAAGGTCATCTGGAAATGCTTAATTTTAAATATTTTCAAGCCTCACCACATTAGAGCAAATGTTAATGTAGAGCCCTGTTAAGGTGGGAAGGTGGTGTCTTTGTGCGTGCTTTGTGTATGTGGGGATATAGACCATACAGTTGATACAACGAGAATTTGGGTGTTACAGACCTTTCAGCATGGATGGATTGCTAATTTCAGGTATCCAAACTGAAATTTGATACCTGATCATGTGGTAAAGTAAGATAAACTATGGTTTTGGAGTGATTATTTTGAGGTTCATTTTCAGCCTCACTGAACAATGTTTTATGGACATGTGAAAAGTATGCACATTTGTTTCCAACTAAAATTTGCTTTTATTTGGTGAGAAAAGGTGTGTGTGTGTGTGTGTTGTAGGGAATAATTAGAGAATTGGAAGAGAGGCCAAAAACAAACCTGAATTACTTTTGTTTCTTGTGTTTGAGCCACCATTCTATCCAGATAGCAGTTTACTCTGAGCAGTAACAATTAACAGTGTAGCATTTAGCAAACCTGGAATTGTTTGCGTATGGTTTTCATTCTTGGAAGCATAAAGAAAAAATATGCATTAAGTGAATTACAAATTTTGACTTGTTAAATAACATGTTTTTCACTGTAAAAGGATTTTAATATTTAAAGAATTTTGTTGCTTCCATGACAAAATATTCCATTCAACTATTTTATAACCTCAGTAATCAACATGTGAGAGTCCTTAATTGGAGATCTGTTTTCTCTATTACCTACCATCCCCCAGTATGCTGAAATCTTTCTAAGTTGCTTGTCGTAATTCTAATGGTGATAATTGAAAAAAGTGTGCTGGAAATACAGGCTCTTATCTGCTTGAGTACTGGGGGTGGGAGGAATTTAGTAATGTCATAATTTGTTGAAGGTAATATATATAGATAACTAAGATAGTTCCAGATAGTTCCTTTTTTTTTTTTTTTTTGTATTTCTCTGACTCAGACAAATAAGATTTCGATAATTATGTAATTTTTAGGTGTCTGTAACATCCACTGGTAAAACTTGGCAAATGAAAGAAAATGGTGAAGTCACCACTTTAACCGAGTCAAAATTTTGTTTGAATAAGCTGATGAAAGCAGACATGTACCCTAGAAGTAGATACCCTAAAATTTATACAGACATGTATATCTTTTTTAAAAGGTTGTAGTTATTGACC